TTCTTCCTTCTCCACGTGTTTTTTTCAGCGCAGTGGAAGCCTTTCTCTTTGTTTGCTTCCCCAGACACGAAAACTCTCAGATCTATATGACCTAGCTAGCGTAGCTACTGTGTCTTTATCCGCTGTCTCTCTACTATGTCAATATTAGCCGTTGCCAATGCTCAAAGTACCATACATCTTAAGCAGAACCTTTCACTCGAAGACTTTTAAGGCCCACTCATCAGATGTTGTCATCATACATGCCTCTGCATCATATAGCAGGACGGGAATAATGAGTGACTTATAGAGTTTGGTTTTCGTTCGTCGAGAGGGCACATTATTTCTCAATTGCGTACCAAAGTAGCAAAGTTGTTGCTGTTAATGCTAGTTCCAAGATAGACGAAATTGTCTACAAGTCCAAGTTATGACTGTCAACAATGTAGGAGCAAAGTCGCAAGATATTTCGTCTGCAGAAAGCAGAACACGGCGTGATTGTTATGGCCAATGATATTGATATCATTTATCTTTTTATTTAAAGCATTTAATGCCGATATCGCCCTCATCCTTCTGTAAGCTTTTCCGGAAATTTCATTATGTATCGTTTTAAGTGACTTTCGTAAATTCGTTCGGTAACCAAGCGCATGACACCATGTGTATAATGCACTGGAACACAGGACAGATGCAGCTTGAATATACTTCAGTATTCCGGAGGTTTGAAGGAAATCCATCTCCGAATAATATTATCCGGTTTCCAGCAAATATGAGCCATATTTGCTCCATCTTAATTAATAATGTGAGTCATGCTGGCGCTACTATTACTTCATCAACCCTCGTTTAGTGTGATTTGAAACTTTCTGTTCCAAATATAGTATGAGGATATGTGGCATATTTCATTCAGGGGGTTCCCCACTCATTGAGCTATTCCCATAGGTCCTTGTGAAGAAGAGATCTATCGGCGTCAATTTTGCAGCCGAGTTTTTTACTATAATGCCGCTCGGTGTTAGGTTAAGTATTTTTTCTAGTTTAGCCGCTAGAGTGATTATTAGCGCTCCTGTTATGCAGAACAGCTAGTCCCTGTATCGGCTCCAACGGTTTTCTGTCTAAGATTTTGCTAGCAGTTATCCACCACACCAAAGCACAGTTAAGCAAAAGTATGTACAGTCATTGCATGAGGCCAGATGATAGGCCCCATGCACATTCTGGCACCTTCTTTCACCTTCTTTTTCACTCTCTCCTCCAAATTGAGTTTCCTTACTAATTTTTTATCCAAAATAATTCCCAGGGATGCTCATTAATTGTTAACTCAAAGCTGTTGAACGTCGCGGATTTTCGTGTCCAGATTTTCTACCTCCTTGTAAAGAGTGCCATATCCGTCTTATAGGCATTTCCATCGAGGTTGGCCGATATCACCAATTGGTGTGTTACACTTAGAGATAAGTCCATTACATTACTTATTGTGTCTGGCAACTTTCCTGCCACTACTTAGCTAGCTTCCTTCTACTCCGCATTAATCCTGCAACTCAGTACAGCTTTTGTTCATGCTATCATGGCAGGCTCTGTCCGGACGACTTCCATACTGTCAACCTCTGCGTTATCAAGTTATTTTTAAATCCTCCACTTATAGAAAGACGATCAGAACATGTGCTTTATTCTCTAGAGCTCCTTCTATATTTTAGGTTAGGAGTCAAGACAGTGGATATACTATTCGTATAGGCATGTGTGCTTTCGATATGTTAGCCAATAAAAGCTTGTATCTAACCGCTTTACAGCTTCTTCTGCTTTCTACCCCTCTTTACTAGGATTTTAACTCGACGTAAACTTTATCACAGACAAATCACACAAATCCTCTCAGGAGGGTAACAAAGCTTCCTCTTCGGGATTTACAGCAGCAAGATACAGCAAGTATACTCGGTGAGCCCGCCGGTGTTAGCAGAAACTTCCTCGAAAGTCATATGGGTTGATGTTCACGCCGCTTTTCTTCCCTATTTTTCTACAAACAGAACTTTGTTTCCTGAAAATCTCTACACCTAACGTTTTATGCCTACCGCCAGTAAGCTCATTAGGAATGGCAGAAATAGATACACACCCCCACCCATTATAAAAGGATATGCAAAACAAATAAACGCTGATTATAGGCGCACTTCGTATAAAGTACTTAATAAGTGATTTCCGAACGATATCAAGCGACGCGGCTGAAGTAGCTAGTATGTGGACATCCAAGGAGACAAATGCGCGATTGGACCAGCCATCAGAGCCGTCTATAGCCCCACATACTAATCTCGAATTAGTCCATTCGTGGATAGGCAGGCAACTAAGGGACCTAGACTTACACCTAATTCAAATACTGAGTGTACATGGATGCTTTAGAAGCTATCTGTTCCGATTTCATCACTACCTTCGTTCGTGCTGTTTGAGAGTGCATAGAAGACTCTGAACACGTATATTTTCAAAGCCCTCGTTTTACAAATATAAGGGAAATTTTTAAAACTTCATTAGTTTTTCGGTGAAAAATTTGACAGCAGGCTTATGTTAAGATAAGATAAGATAAGATAAAGAATGAGGATTGCACCGCGACCTAGGGTCTATTGTGCCCTCTACTAACTCACAGCGTATCACTTAGCCCCAGCAAATTGATGAATTCCAATATTCTGCTAGGTGCTAATGAGGCGATGTGATCCCTATTTAGAAACATGGCTCCAAGGGCCTTAATCCTGCGTCTGCAGATTGCTGGGCAATCCATTAGCAGGTGTTYTGGAGTTTCGGATTCCCAGTCGCAGAACCGGCAATTTGCGCAAGAAGCTAGGCCCATGTTAAATAAGTGCTTCTTGAGTTTGCAATGGCCGGTGTAAAAGGCGACCAGTAGCCTGACTTTATCTCTTGGGAGATTGATTATGAGTTTAAACCTCTTGAGGTTGTAACCCTTCATTAGCAGCATTGCGTGACGCAAGCCAGGAAGTTGTTGCCAATGTATCTCCCTACCCACTTATGTTAGTCATCTGGTAAATGGAAAGTGTCAGCAAAGCCTCAGCTCAAAGCATGACACAACTAAGTCATGTCCAGTATAAAAGAAATCAGTCAGCCCCTGAGAGAGATATGAGTTGGGATTATGTTAAGTTCCGAACTTCGGTTTTCACTGCCTTCTGCTATCAAAAAATTCCCTCCTCAGTGTTGAATGAAAAGCAAGTCACCAGTAAGAAGAGAATGAATACATAGCTCTGCCTTAGATACCTCTACCATAGTCTACAACTTACATAAAAAATGGCTGATCGAAATCCAGATAAACATCCCTTTTCTTGTGTTATGAAAAATTTATGTTTGAAAGGATTTCTAGCTTCGGTATAACAGAAGTTAGCATTATAGCTAGTTTAATTTAATATTATAATTAATTGTCATGTCATATCATTTATGAATTAACAATTATATAACTCCATACAAGAAGAAAATATTAATATCCTTCAAATTCTATCCAAATAATTGTTAAAAAAAATAAGGTTATATCCTCCGCAATCAAACAAACTCAAACACTTGTTTCTTCGTGCTTTATCTCAAAAATGTGTGTTTCAAAAGGCGAATGTTTGCATGCTCAGCAGTACGAGTAATCAAAGCAAATGAAATAGACGCGTTCTTGCGCAACAGACAGTTAAATCGCAACGACCTTGAACTTCAGCAATGAAATCATTGACTTGTGACTTCTGCCAAGTTAAGAGACGAGAAAGGCTACATCAACGAAAAAGAAAGTATTTACTAAAATGCTTATAAACAGACGAACGAAATGTGTAAAGAAAAGCAAAACAAATCATTAAGAAACTGAACTAAAATATTGCAAGCACCTTTAGTCCTTGTGGCTGCCATGATTGTGACTGCAATTGATTACCCCAGTCAAAGGCTGTGATCGCCAAAACCAAAAGAGCAATAAAATACTTGGCGTGTCTTTGTATAGCGCACATTTTTGATTTTGACACCCCAGCCATTGATTTGAGTAATACGATTTGCCAGAAAATATATTTCTCTACAACATAATAAAATTGAAAAATGTACGTTTTTGTATAACCGCTATAAATATGCGCAATTGACCAAGTAATAGACATAAATTGCTTACGGTTATTATTAGAACCATCTGTATGTTGGTATTTTGTGGCTAATTTTTCATTTCTTGAACGGTTCTTTATGGCAGCTTTAGCTTATTTGATCTATGACATCTCAATCATATACAAACACACCCGGGCGTATACGCAACCAAATGACTGTATGCCATAAACATTGACAGCCACACACAGACTTGTCCACTCTCCTGCCCGCTGAGGGGCAAATATTTCATTCATACAAACGGCAGGACGATCATAATTGCGCATGAAATCCGAATATTTCAAGCTTAAGAAGAATTTAAAAAGTCATTAATCGGCCTACGTTCGTGTGTGTGTGTAGCAGGAGAGCTGCTGTCGCCGCAGATACCGACAAAAACGCTTACAACTATATATAAAGATAGATGGATATAAAGATACATAGATACATAGAATATACATAGATAAATAGTGTTTACATACACACAGACATATATACAGTTATATGTATGCAAGTTGTTGACGTCCTGCTTTACACGACTCTGACTGTGTGATAAGATATCATTTGTGTATGACGCGAGAAATCACATGTTTGGCCGCACGACAAAACAACATCGCATACCCAGCACAACAACAACATTAGACAACAACTATACAGCCTTACTTGTGCTCAGCACGCGCTCCCCGCATAGCGGAAGGCCACATTGCACAGGCACAGGCACAGCACAGCACAGGGAAATATGTCTCACACGACTTTGGGCTAGCGCATGCGCATTGCGCAGACCATGGAAAAAATCCCCGTAATTTTGCAGAGCAGCCCAGCTGCATGAAGGCAACATTAGCAGTGCCAACAACGGCTGCAAATGGGCGACTGTTAGGGCACAACAGCAACGCAGTGGTGGCGTTTTTGGCGGATTCGCACAGAATCAATTGAGTCAGTCGAGATGTGGACACGTGAGCTGTAAGAGCGAAATCGAAAAGTACGGAGCGCCGACGAGCTTAGGCAACGCGTCGTGTCAGTGACAGTGTCAATTGATAGTTATCAGGTGCACAACAGTGAGTATAACAACAAAACAAATACAGAAAACAAGAAAAAAGCACAAAAGCAGTGGCAAGGCAAGTGAAAGTGAAAGTGAAAGTGTGTGTAGTGCTGGTAAATGGCAATGAAGTGTTGCAAAATTAAGAAATGAAGTAATATCGAATAAAAAGCGCATATGTGTGTATGCCGTACAGTGTGAAATACATAGATAACTGTGCAAGGCGAAAAGTAAAAGTGAAAGCCACCCACACACAGGAAAGGCCAGAAAAAGTGCAAAAAACTAGCTAACCACAAGGCTAACTGAAATTTCCGAAAAATTTAAGCACAATAACGCCCGAAACACGCTTCGCAGCACGCTCGAGCGTCCGTTCGTTTCATCAACTATTAAATTCGGGTGCTACAACGTCAGGATCCGTGGCCGCGTATGCGTGTATAAGCGTGTGTGCGCATATGTGAGCTTGCGTGTCAAGTAAAATCAATGAAAGCAAAAGTGAAAACGTGCTATACAGCTAACTGCAGCGGTGTACAGATGTGTGACGTGGGCAACACCAAGTGAGTTGCCCCGAGGCTGCCGAGCAGAACTCTTGACCAATTGATAGGTGAGGACACGCGCACCCGCACACACACTATTTATTACTTATGCGAAAACTGCATGCCATCATTTTGTTTTTTGTTTTTGTTTTTGTTTTTGTAATTTTTATACACATATTGAACGATGCAGGCAGACAGCGCTATACACAAACACATGTTTGCGTCGTTTTACGTCATGAATTTCACAGCAGTGTGCTGAAGTTCGTGCCACACACACACGCACACAGGCCAGTGCGCAGCGTGTATTTTTAGTATACACACGCACACGCGTATTGGATGCGTTTAAATATATTTGTTTACTATATTTACTTGTATACTACATATATATGGAATTTCTTTTTTTTTTTTTTTTTACTACTGTGGCGCAACTAATGCTGCATGTCTGTGTATTTAAGTCATAATCTATTCGTACAATGCGCTCGACTCGAGGAGTATCCTTGTCCCCAATGCAGACTATACTAGATATGGACGCATTGCGCACACGAACAACACACATACGCGTGCATACACCCACATTGGTTAGAGTCTAAACCGATATATAAGTATTTGTATTTGCATTTATGTGCCTGACGCTGACGTGCTTTGCAGTTCTTTGTGTGGCGCACTTAGGCGAAAAAGCAGTTGCATAATATATTACGTATACGCAGTGTGCGACCAAAACGAAATCAGGCACATGCATGCAAGTGCAGAAAACAAATAAAATGGGCGTACGGTGTATTTGCCTATTTCGTTTGTTCGTGCGTGACAAATTACAATTGAAAATGTAGATTTCTCCTGTGGAAATCGATGCTTTGTTTAACAAAGATATCTCGGCACAAACAACAGTGACACAGCACCATCACCAATAATTGTAAAAAAAATCACGAAAAAATGTATACATCAGTTGTATCTCGCTGTGAAGCTATACAAATAGCAAATAACTCATAACAGAACTCGATTTTGATGGGTCAGTTTGTGTGGTAGCTATATGTTATAGTAGTCCGATCTGAACAAAATCTTCGAAGTTTGTACCGTTACTTTGTATAGTAATAATGCCTCAATTTCGTGCAGATATCTCGATTAATAAAAAAGTTTTCCATACAAGCACATAATATTTATCGTACAGTTTGTAGCGTTGTTTTATAGCTTACTATAGTGAGCCGATATCGGTGCTTCCAACAAATGAGGAGCTGCTTTGCGGAAAAAAGCCGTGCGCAAATATTCGTGAACATATCTTCACAAATAAATAAGTTTTCCAGACAAAAGCTTGATTTGCTTCGTTCAGTCTGTATGATATCTATTTTCTATAGTGATCCGGTATCGCTGTTTCCAACATATGCGTAAAATTTAATCGAAATAAATGTATTTAAAGACCTAAGTATTGAAATTTTTTAAGCAAATGGGCAATAACGAAAATGGATCACTCATATGATTGAAATTCTCCTATAGCAAGTGCTTTAGAGTGTGACTGCTTTTGTTGTTTCCTTCACTCCTTTTGGAGATTTGGTTTAAATTTTGAGCATACCGGTATTTAAGAGGGTATTTTGCACTTCATTCTTCTGCATATCGAAATGTTTGCTCGAAACCAGTTAAATCCCCAATCCAATTCCGCTATTGAATCCTCTCTTAAGTCGCAAGCATCCATCGAGCTCCAGCATATTGTTAAATACCTGCTAGGTGCTAGTGAGGCGTTATGATTCTTATATGGTAATATGGATCCAAGTCAAATAGCAGGTGTTCTGGATTTTCTGGCTCCCTGTCGCAATTTACAGACTAGAGAGTACTTACAACAAAAAATCACCGGTAAAATAATGTTTGGCTCACACATACCTCCTACTAATATTCAAAAGGAATGATATAAGGCATCTAGTAGGACTGCTAACATGTCAAAATCTAATTGGCAGATATGCCAGCTGACTGGCAGCATCATACAATGACTATTGTATGTTAGAAGCTGTCAGGAGCTAGAAGGAAATGAAAGAAATATCTTCTAAGTAATCCAATTCGAATAAACCTTGTTTAAGAAAAGAATAGCAGCTATGGTTCGAGGGTTTCCGGACGGTGTCTGGGAAGTTGCAAGTCTAAAACCCGAAGTTTCCAAATGAACCTACTAAAGATGCGTAGACATCAACCCTAGCTGCATATCTACCTGGCCTGACGAGATATGAGTTTTGATCGGTTAGTTTAATAAACAATTAAATGCTAAGCGAAATAGATACATTGTTATATATAATATAAGTAAATGATCAGGATGGTCTGTCTGTCCGTCCATTTGTCCATTTGTTTTGAAAAAGTAGGCATGAATCAGCCTTTTAATAAGTTTAATGTACATATCTTCTAAACCACTAAAGCTACAATAACCAAATTTGCACAGTATAAATAATATAAGAACTTCTGCTGGCAGTGTAAAAATTAATGAAATCAGATCAAACCAAAAAAAAAAAAAAAACANAAAAAAAAAAAAAAAACAGACTACTGTCTTAGACTACAGACTTAAAGTTTACCCTCAAAATGATATGATAAGATCTTAAAGGAGCCGTAGTCAAAATTTGATGATGGACGGATGGCAAACACCCAATTTTAGGTGAAATCATATGTCTCGAGATATTCTTCAAACATTATTGTATTACAGTGTATAAATGGGCGAAACCAAACCACAGCAATGTCTACTTTTTATATAGAATAAATTTAAATCATGTTTGAAACTTTCCAATATAAAAATCAAGAAGCTAAAATTGTTTAGGTCCAACAAAAACTGTTCACGGCCTTATGTACCGAAAATGTGGATGCCAGTGTCTATAGTTGACGTTTGACTGAAAATATCGGTCAATGTGTGAAATATATAACTAAAATACCTCAGAGTGTCCTTTCCTGGTAATACTTCCTCGTGGTAATATACCTAATATAAAATTGTTGAAGCTTCCAGAAGACTATAGACCGCAGATATCGGTCCATATGTATAAATTACAGAACGTGTTTTACTTATAAAAGTACATCTTTGTGCTTAAAACAGATATGATTTGGTTAAACTTGACCTAGTCTCAGTATAATTATTACCACGATTTTCGAACATCCGGCCGATTTTGCTCCATATGGGAACATTTTTTTAGTATGTGGCATAATAATGGCTAAAATCAGGTCGATACTACCACAACTCCCATATATTAATGTATAATGATTTTGGTTTTTCTAACAAAACTTATGCGAAATGTGTCGGTCAGTGTATGAGTTACATAGAGTAAGATTTTGATCCTCTGCTTGACGTTATACACTTTAAGGTATTTCCCTGGCTTTGATTCGTCCACGTTGCAAGGGTATAAAATGTTCGGTTGCACCCGAATTTAGGCCTTTCTCACTTGTTGTATTACGATTTTTCCTTTACTTCCAAATAGTTCTTAATTTCGGCGTTCACTACTTCATTCAGATCTGGACAATACAGTGGATGCGGAAGTAATACAAAGGTTAATTCGTGTATTTTTGCTGTCCTTTTCACTGCCTTGTGACACGGTGCATTGTGCTGGTGGAACAGCCGTCATTTTGCTTTCTTTCAATGTGGCGATTTTTCGGCGATTTCCTCTGTCAAACGATACAATAACACTTTATAATAGTTGTTTTTGATTGTGCTTTCTGTTTCAAGGTAGTCAATATATATTATTCCATAAGCATCAGAAAAAATGCAGATGTCAGAACCTTGTCAAGCTACTGTTGCGTTTTTCACGCTTTGCAAATCTTTCGAATAAGTATCGATGGAACTTCATGGTTGAGTGGAGGAGCCATCATCCATTTCATCCATTATTCCACATACTGCTCTAAATCATCAGCTCGTCGTTGTTTTTTGTCATAAGTGAACCCGCAGACCATCCGCTTTGCACTGAGTTTTTCACATCATATGATGTACACATTCCAAAATTACGTTGTGAACTTTTTATATTCTTGCAACCTGTTGCTACAGAGTATTATAGCTTTGTTCATTTCAAAACCATTGGTGCAGTGGTTTCGATGATTGAAGGGAGATCGCCTTTGAAGATGTGAGTTGTGGGAAATATGGTATGCTTTGAAGTTTTGAAATCTTGGGATAAAGTGATAATCGAGATTTCATTATCCGTCATTTACATTTTTTTTTTTTTTTTTT